GTTAGCTGGCTGCTTCTGCTGGAATCACCGGCCCACGCAGCATTGCATGCTTGGTGCTATCCAACAATAACAGACAGAATGCCAGACAGATGATGTTGCAGGCTGCAGCTGGCTTATGGGCTGCAGGATCTTCCCGACCTGCTCTAAATGATCAATTGTGAAATTATTAGGGAGGCTGATATACACGGCTGGTTTTTGGGCTTCAGGATAAGTAGTAAACATGGTCCAGGTGCATGCCTCCTTTGCTCCTGTTTATCTATAGAGCTCTGATCAATATACACATTGTTCTTATTTTACGCAACATTCACAGCTGTGTGTTCATGCTACAGCTCATGGACATATTGTTGGGCTCTTGTGCATTACGGTGGTTTCATGACCCAGTCCTCCTCTGGTTCCTGACTGAGGTGCTGAAGTAACAATCGGTGTAAAAGTAGTGTGTTCAGTTTTGGGCCCCTTGCTACAAGAAGGACATCGAGGTGCTTGAGCGGGTCCAGAGAAGGGCGACAAAGCTGGTGAGGGGCCTGGAGAACAAGTCCTATGAGGAGCGGCTGAAGGAGCTGGGCTTGTTCAGCCTGGAGAAGAGGAGGCTCAGGGGCGACCTTATTGCTCTACAGATACCTTAAAGGAGGCTGTAGCGAGGTGGGGGTTGGTCTGTTCTCCCACGTGCCTGGTGACAGGACGAGGGGGAATGGGCTTAAGTTGCGCCAGGGGAGTTTTAGGTTAGATGTTAGGAAGAACTTCTTTACTGAAAGGGTTGTTAGACACTGGAACAGGCTGCCCAGGGAAGTGGTGGAGTCACCATCTCTGGAAGTCTTTAAAAGACGTTTAGATGTAGAGTTTAGTGATATGGTTTAGTGGGGACTGTTAGTGTTAGGTTAGAGGTTAGACTCGATGATCTTGAGGTCTCTTCCAACCTAGAAATTCTGTGAAATTCTGTAAAAGCTGTCAGGTGGACTGATTCATGGGTCCCTCATACTTGACTTTCTTTTCCATGTACGAATCATGGCTTTTGCTACTCTGATATTCTTTTTATCAGTTACCACAAGCTCTCCCTCTGAGTTTTCTTCACGTCCTACTACTGAGACTGGGCAGTCAGAGCTGAGGCTCCCTGGAGCCCTTGCACAGTCCCCGGGGTGCAGAGCTTCTGCAGAGAGTTTCCTTGCGTGTCACTTTGGGCACATTCCATCCCGATGACTTGTTCTTATTTCATCATGTGAAGTTTAAGCTGCTTGTCTTCACCTTGAATGCCCTTCAGACTTCTGCTTCTCTCTCTTATCTTCTCCTGTCTTAACCCATAACCTTCACTTTACCAATGATACTTTCATTTTCCACCCACTTGTCTTTTTTCATTCATGTACAGAGATTTGTGTATGTATATATACACGTATGTACACACTTTTGTTTCATATTTGCCCATATACACAAAGATTCCTCCCCCAGTTCATCAGCAAGATTAGAACCCTCTCCCCAAAATATGCCTTTCTAAGGAAACAATGAGTAACAACAGCGTAGGACAAATGAAAGAAGCTACTATTTATGATTTAAAGGGAGGAAGGAGTGTGATGTTTGTTTGATCTAGATACCTAGTCCCCTTCTTCATAGCTCTTTTCTTTGAGAATTGGCTTTGTTCAACAGCAACTGCATTTCGCGTGTTTGCATGGCACGTTACACAACAGGGACGTGAGTCTAATGATTGAACCCTAACAGAAATATTTCCTAACAACTACTGTAAGTAAAGCAAGTCAAGTGAAATAACATCTGTCCTAAGTGCTTGGAAGAAGAAAATCATCAAAAAAAGGTGTTTTTTTGTTTGTTTGTTTTTTTAAGCTGTGCCTTTCTGAAATAGCATTTCTTATTTTCTTGGTTTTCATGCCCAACCTGGTCAGCAGCAGAGGCTTTCCCACTGGACACTTCCAGACCAGAACTGCTGCAGGCATTCCAGCTGTCACCCTGCTCACTGCAGGGTCTTGCTGGCAGGGCTCTGGAGAGTGTCTTGAGCTTTCCATTTTGAGAGACGTGGTGATTGTCAAGGAAACCCTAACTGATGTATTTGCCATTATATGGCAAATGTATAAAATACGTTTTTTCAGTTTGTATCATGGGTAGGAACATAAATGGCTGTCCGGAAGCTTAAGATAGAGTGTGAAAAGGAGTGCTAAGGGTACAGAAGAGAAGGTGGGCAGCATTCACAAATTCAGGCTCAATCTGGCCTTGGTGACATGGCACAGCTGCAGAAATATGGGCAGAAGATGCAGTATGAAAGCTTCCATTAGCAGAAATCATCTCCAAGTTCATCAGTACTTCTGGGAAGGGGCTGTACCGTATTAATAGATTGGCTAATGTTCAAGGATACTTTCTGTACATCTAAGTGTAATATATATACACTAACACACGGAGCCTTTTGTATGAGTCTCACCAGATAATAGAGTGTGAGAGGTCAAATATTTCAAAACATACATCAGCTTGTTTCTCTGAACAGTGCAGGAGCAGGATATCAGTAGGTAGCTGCTCAGCTTGGGGTTCCTGTTCCCTTTGTGCCACCCTTCCCCAGTGGTGCCTGTGCAATGCACTTCTTTGTTCCTTCACTTTTTACAGAAATTGTGTTGTAGCTCCAATACTCTAAGCAGAAAGAAGGTTTGTAAGGACAGGTAAAATACGTCTGCATTTGTGCAACAGGGAGAAATCAGCAGGAGATGAGATGTTGAGAGAACTGTAATGAACATAAAACCAATGTCTAGTCTGTATTATTTAATATTAAGTAGTGTAATAATTTTTAATACCAAATGTTTTGTAAATTCTTCCTTGAGGACTGAGATTAATATGTGAAAGGGAATTATTGTTTTGCTTTGTTAAATGATAAGTGTGCTTCCTTATTTCTAACTCGTGTGAGTTCATCCTAGAACATAATGGTAGGTAGGTTACACCCACGTGTATGCTACAAGGGCCTTTGGTTCACTGTATGATGTGTACCACACACTGCATGTCTGGATGTAAACCTGGAAGGTTCAGGAACTAAGAACACTTCTTATAGCTCTTCTGGGGGAAGGTTGGGAGCATTTGCACTTATGATTCTGATGAGATCTGCCAGTGCTCCACACTCTGTTTTCATTATTCATTTTGTTGGATGGAGTTTGAAAGACTGAGGGGTTGTTAGTGAACAAGTAGATTGAGCTGAGAAGAAAGTTGTTTTTTTTTTTCTTCTTTTTCTTTTCAAGGATGACTTTCTCCCCCACGAGTCTGTACATGTTTTCAGTAGATGCCAGTTTGAGGCAATATGTGACACACAGAAGTGGCTTGTCAACATGAGTTTTCTTCTTGTACATGATGCTTGTTAGAGGATGAGCCTAGTCTGTACTTTTCTTATGCACCAAGATGAGGGTAGCATTTATACCTATCAGCTTTAGTGATATTTAAGCCACAGTGCCAGTGTGAGAATATATCCAATGTAGAAAACTAAGTTTATATTTACATGTTTTATTCAAGATTCGTTGCTTTATTCATTTCTACTCACTCTGACTCAGTAGCTGTCTAAAACGTATCTTAAATGGAGACCTTCACAGCTGTGCAAAGCGTGCAGCAACCAACTGCGTAAGGTGGCCAGAAGGGGAAGCTACTTGAAGAATGGAGGCTTTTTCCAGATTTAAAAACGTCATATTTAAAATTCTTCTGTCACTGCATCATGGCGTGAACAGCTGCCACCACATCTAACTAGGAGCCCTGGAGGATTAGAAGTAAAAGCTTTGCTCACTGCAGAAAGGAAAGTTGTTGGAGTGGTTTTAAGCCATGGTGTCTGATGGTAGGAGCTCTGTCTGATTCCTCCTTATCTCCCCTTGAGCTCTACGGCATCCCCATCTGCAAGGTTTTCTGCCTTCATGACTTTCTCATGTGCATGGAAACGCTTATGTGTTCCTGAAATGCTGTGCATGATATGGTCTCTCAGCACTTTTTGGCAAAGCTTGAACCCTCTCTGCCTTCATAACTGTTAAAAACCATGGTCCGCCTCTGGCTGACCTGTCCTGTGTGCTGCTGCTTCCGTGTGACCCTGGGCGAGGATCCTCCTGCACAGAGCAGGAGCTGTGAATCTCAACCTGAGCAAGACCAGGACAAAAAGAAACATTTTTTTACAGCAATCACAATGCACAGAAACTCACCACGTTTAATACTAAGCTTGTATATTCTTTCAAATGGGTTTTTTAAAGTAAAATGCATTAATTCAAGGACACACACTAACAATAGTATGTCTTGTCTTACAAAAGACCTAGCAGCTCAAGTAAATGGTTAACCATTGTATAGCAGTTAAAAATGTGTGTATTGTTACGGAAAACACATTAAAACAGATGAACTACCCTCCTAGATTCAATCCTTATGTCTTTTTAAAGCATGTAGCAAGAGTAGCAATGAAACTCTACAGCTTTCAGCTTCCAGAAATATAGTAAGTCAGAAGGACAGAATATTAAATACCGACAAGATAAGGAATAGCAGGTTGGAGAGGGAGAAAAATCTGATTTGCGTAGTTTGGTGTGATGCTGCTTTCTTGCTTTCTTGGATTGGAACTAGTAAGTTATAAGGATAAGCTGTATTTCCATTTTTAAATTTTGCTAATAACGCTGAAGGGTTTATTCTGGGGATAATTTTGACTGACTGCACAGGAAGAATATCTCCTTGACATTATCTAGCAAAGTTTTACCAAAAATGTTCTTAATTAAGTTTAAACTTCCATCTTAGATATTGCTTCTGGTGCTGACGTCGGATAATGGAACTGGACCAGAATCAGAAGTGATCTATTTTAATTGTTAAACCAAATATAATGCATAAAGCTAAGGATTTTGGATAGTAACACAAGATGTTTAGGGGTTACATTTTCCAATACTTGACTAGTGATTTGGGAGCTATAATTTTATGTAAATACGTATATCTCCTGTATTTAATAACTTACATATATATATATTTAAAATCAGTAGTTTCATATCGTACCATATTATTGTTTTCTTTTCTTTGAGCTGTTGATTACCGAAGATGTTATCACGTAGCACTCATACAGTCAAGTCTTGCGGAGATCGGAGCTGGACTGCTTTCTAGTGCAAAGGCATGTATTAGGCCAAGCAGAGTCTTCCAAGGAAGAAACACTAAAGAATTAATCTGCTCATCCATCTCAGCGAACATTTCACCTGACCATAGGTGACTGAATTCACTGTGAAATGGTTGCTGAAGCCAGGGAATAGAGATCTGCGTGTCCAAGGGAGGCAGCACCTGGGCCAGCACGGCGCAATTTAGCTGTCCTTTGCTTCACCAAGTCTTTATGACAGAGCTCCTAGGATCACACTCACTATAGGAAGGAAAGATCTTTTGATAGATCAACGTATTTCTACTTTTTTTCTAAATAATTGTTTTAATGGCAGGCAAGAACAACTACATTTAACCATCAAGAAATAAGTATCTTATTAAAAACAAGCAAGCAGCAAGTTTGACGTTTGACTTAGCATCTCATGCTGATCTATGTGGTTATTTCAAAGGTTTTTTTTTTTTTCTTTTTTTAAATTTTATGGAGGTCTTGCACTATTTTCCAAGCAGCAGCCAAAACTGGCCTTGAAAACCTTGTAAACCATTTCCCTGCTCTTGGTGTGTTCGCTCTGTGCTCTGTTCAGCTCTTCTTTTCAGAGGTGTCTCTTCAGATTGAGATGTCTGTCTCTGGGTATCACCTGGCTTGGTGGAACTGGGCTCACTGGGAAACCGTCCCTGGAGCTCCTTGACACCTTTGAGATGCATTCATGCTATATAATTAGAGTGGTATGTGGTACCTTGATACAAAAATGATTGTTTTGACTGTTGACTCCAGTACCCACTTCCTGGAAGCAGATCCTGTGACTTGTACCCAGGGATATTCCACACCAGCTCAGGGGAATGCTCAGCCTAATCTATGACTGTTGGTGAAATAACTGAGAAAAAAAAAAACGAAAGTAGCATACATAAATCATATCATTTCTAATTATATTTTTAAATTATTTTGGGAATTTTCAAGCTGCTTCATTCACACACAATTACGAAAGACAAAATGCATTCCCTACTTGTGGAGTTACTGGGCTGTTTTTTTTTTACAAATGTATCACTGTATAGCTAGCTGCCAGTTATATCAGTGGTGTTTAAGAGGAAGAGGGATGGGGAGGAGATTTCACAGCAGACAATGATGATCAGAAGCCAGGCAGCTGCAGGAGCTGGCCATGGAAGACCAGGGCTGAGAACAATGTCAAGTTTTTGGAAGGCGGTTTTTACCCAAGAGCTGCTCATCTGGAAGAAGGGCCTATGGGATACTCTTCTATGTGCTGTTGCTTCATGGAGTGATAGTGGGGAACTGAACACCCATCAACCACTGGAAATATATGTGAAACTATGAGAAATCTGTCAGCTCTCTCAGAGCTCCCCAGATCTACCCTGGTGCTGTGGTCACAGTCTGGCTGCATACTGGTCTAAAGTTGTGTGAATTAATCAAGAATCTTGCTCTAGATTGTGTTTACTGGTGATGTTTTTACTGCTATATGATTTTTTTTTTTTTTTAAATCTGCCAGCTGGAGAGGGGAGTTATGCCTAATTTAACAGCCATTGATCACACCGTCAATATTCAGGATCCTAGTTCTTCCTTTTATTGGAAATGAAAACAATACAAGCCACATATATTGGAGATACTATTTTTTATTTATGAGCATCATATGTGAAATGTTGATCTCTGGAAGGCAGGTATGAAAGAGCAGGAGGCGGTTGAGGAGCCCCAGAGCCCCTCCTAGCAGCACTGGAGGCAGTGGGCTCTGGTTGCCTGCCCTCCCAGCTGGCTAAACTCAGGCTCAGAGCATGTATCTGCTGTCATCCTGCCTTTCCTACTGCCTTCTTTGCTCTTCCCAGGAACATCTCCATGAAGCCATAATGCCCACCTCCCTCCCACTGCCTTCCTCACTGCCACCCACATCGTTTACTTATCACCAGTGCAACACCTGCCAGATGCAGCAGTTTTTTCTCATTTGGGCTAGTTTATTCTTAAAAGGAATTTAGCAGCTTATTTTTATCCTGAATGAAGGCTGCAATATTGTTCATGCTCTGCTTCAGTGAGGTTTCATTAAATTTCTACCCTAGTATTAATGATTTTTTTAAACTATCAGGAGTTCCAGAGAAATTGCTGTCAATGATCACTACGTGCTCTGTGTTTAGCAGAGAAAGATGCAGCTAAGAATATTTGCTAACCCATAAATTCCTTAGCAGAATTGCTTTAGGTAATGCCTCCACCTGCCATGAAGTCTCCTGTGCTTCTGGCACTGGAGGACTGGATCGCAGCAGAGGGCAGCTGGACAGCCGAGAGCAGCTTTGCCAAACCCTCTGTCAGCAGCAGGGTGCTTGGCCCCAACCTCAGCCACCGGCTGACACAGCAGCCCCCACGCCACCAGGGCTATTTCTGTTGCTTTTAAGCAAGTGGTGCTGGGCTGCGGGAGCCCACTCCAGATTCCTCCCAGTGTCAGCTGTTGCTACTGGTCATACGTACCCACGAATATCGTACTGACCTAACCCTGCTCAATTCAAGGCAGTCTTCTGGTGGGAAAACAATGAAAGGTGGTCTCTTTCCACGCCTGGGCCATGCATTGGAGCACGGACTAGCAGCAGCTCTGTTGTGTGGCTCTGAAATGGTGCACAGTGTTGTGATCCATTTCAGAAGCGTGCAGCTGCCTAGCAAAAATGCTGCTTTACAAGGAAAACAAGAAAAATAATACATAAAAAGATGAAGGAGTATTTTTGTATTTCTTCCTCTGCCTTCAAAATTCATCGTAGTATGATTTACAACAATGCAGTAAGGCTGATAAATAATAGTGACACGGGGAGAAATTAATGCTATTCATGCAAGACAGAGCGGGAAAAAACATTGTTTAGAAAGACTCAAGGTGAGATGAAAAATGAAAGGTATGATGGAAATCTTTTTTCTGATATTAAAAACTGCAGAGGAGAAACCCCTTTATGAAAGCCCTTCCATAGAGAAAAGGCAGTAGAAAAGCCAATAGCACATGAGAAATTAAGAAAGAAAATCCATCTGGCTAGAGAAAACACAGAGCCTATAAAAAGAAAGCTGTAGGCACAGCATCCCCCTCTGGACACATAGTCCAGAGAGAGGTAGAACTTGCCATTGGCTGCAAAAGAGCTTTTGCTTTAGTCTGGCTTTATAATTTGTATGCAGAGCAAGCTATCTGTGTTCAGCAAGAGTCTGTCAGGGGCTTTGCTGTGGAGGAGGTCACTGCAATGCTGAAGGGACTGGAGCACCTCTCCTGTGAGGAGAGGCTGAGGGAGCTGGGACTGCTCAGCCTGGAGAAGAGAGGGCTCTGGGGGATCTTGTCAATGTCTATAAATACCCAAAGGGAGGCTGCAAACAGGATAGAGCCAGGCTCTTTTCTGTGGTGCTCAGAGCCAGGACAAGAGGCAGTAGTCACAAAGTGGCCCACAGGAGGCTCCGTCTGAACACCAGAAGCCCTTCTGTGCTGTGGGGGTGATGGAGCGCTGTCAAGGGCTGCCCAGAGAGGTGGGGGGGTCTCCTTGGCGATTTTCAGAAGCAGCCTGCTCGTGGCCCTATGCTCCCTGCTCCTGGTGCTCCTGCAAAGAGTTGGGCCTGGTGGGCCCAGGGCTCCCTGCCAGCCTCAGGCAGCCTGTGAGGAGCTGGCCCAAGGAGGAGGCAGCGGTGCCTGGTGGTGTTGGTGGTGGAGGAAGAGGAGCTGGGCAGTGGGGTGGCAGCTGGAGTCTTGTGGGCACAGGAGCAGGTGCAGATGTCCCCAGCCCTGGGGCTGAGCCCTGCTCCAAGGCAGCTGCTCTGGTCACTCCATTTGTCACCACCCCTGGTGGCAGCCATTCTGCCACTGCCCTGAGTGGTTGTACCTTGTGTTTGGGGGTTATCTGACGACATTATTCCTACAAAGAAAACAGGCCTCTTGGGAAGTTTGACGAGTGATCCTGCGTTACTGTAGGTCTGCTAATTACAGTGATCTGCTTTGAACCAATGTGTTCTTAGAAATGTGTCAATGCAAGCATATGCATGGCCATAAACAGGGCAATTCCTCTATTTGCTTTTCTTGAAGAGATTGACAGTATTGTCTTGAGTGAGAGACAGACTTATCTCCACAGGCTAAACTTCAGCACTCTGAGACATAAACACAAACCTTGTCAGAGGACTGAATACAAAAACAGACCCAGATTTCACCCCCTGGGCCCTGGAGCAGAAGGTCGTGGGGCTGAGACAGGCCCTGTACGTGAAGCCTGTGCAGTGTTAGCTTTGGGATTTGCATGTATGAATAATGCAGTGACAGTGACTGTGCCTCAGAGATTTTTTTTCTCCAGTATTCCCAGTGTTTTATGAGCACTAATCCAGACTCTTAATCAGCTTGCTTCAATGGACAAAAAAAAAAGCCCAATGATGCGGAATTTGGTGATGAGAATGACGTTGGATAGGCTGATTCAGAACAGCCTGGAGGTTCACTGTTCTCTAGTGGGTACTTTTTATACTCTAGCACTAGGAGATATGGAAACATGGAAATATGTAATATCACATCAGGCAGATAAAAATTTAATGTGGTGCTGTGAGCTGGGAAGAAGTACATGTGGAGATTCACACTAAAAATTCTCTCCTGTAGTCTTTCCCCAAAACATTTTATACTAGTTGCTATACTGAGCTAGATGAGTATTGATTCTTGACAGAGTATGGCCATTTTTATGTTCTTATACATATGTATTAATTTAGTCTTGCTTGTTACAGTAATGCATTTCCAAATTGCTTCTTAGGAAAAAAAAAAAAAAAAGAGAGAGAGAGAAATGACCTCAATTTGTGGATTGGAGGAAAACCAGCATCCAGTAAAAAAAAGTTATTAACAGAAAGAATATGTGGAAGATGAGAATGAAAGAAACTGTAGTCAGAGGTGCTTTTGACCATCAAATATTATTTTATTGCTTATTGCAATTGAATCTAGTTGCTATTATGCATTATCTTGTAAGTATTTTGGTCAGACTGGGTAATGTCCTCAAGAGCTGTGGCAAAGAATTGGGAAGAAGCAGTGCAAACAATGAAAATGAGCAGAGTTATCACCTTGATTGTGAGAATGACTGTCTATAATCCCAGCACACAGCCGGGGCTCTGCTTCCAGGTTCCTGATATTAATCTGATCAGCAAGTATTCTGACTGCAATGCAAATTTTGAGATGGTGCTGCTGAGGATAGAACTGCACCCCAAGCTAGTTTTGAATTACGTAGCTTAGAAGCAATAATGTTTGTAAGGGGGGTTGGTGAAGAAAATATACCAGATGATAGCCATTGATGAAATTCAGCAGAGGATAAAGATGCCCAGTTTGGATATGAATTTTAAATAAGGAAACATGAATGTGCATTTATCTGTGAGATTTGTTTATGGTAGTCCTGCAAATCTATATTACTTTATTGAAGTCAGAATGTGAACCAGTTTTATGGCTGGCTAATAATCGTGACGACCAGTGTTTCAGACGTTTCTCTGAGCTGTTTATTTCCCCAGGTAGAAAAGGGTAAAGAGGGTAAAACTTATCTGCAGAGATATCACTCAACACATCCACCAGACCATATCATCCTGTACAGCATAGCAGGCTTATTTTTTCCACAAAGCTGATTTACTTGGTCCTGGGAAGCTTGTCTCTGGGAAGCATGTCCTGTAACAATTTGGATCTTGGGTACTGTTGATCCTTTGCTACCTGCTGTTCCCAACCCCGTGTGGGGGTGTGGGCAAAGCTGCTCAGGGCAGATGCCCTCATAGGATGCTCTTCCCGAGCAGCTTTTGAGTTCGTAGCCCTGCCTAACAAAGGTGGCGAGACACTCCCAGAGCACAAAGGGAAAAGGCGATTCAGAGAATAACCTCAAGATTAGGGTGATATAAAAGTGATACTTATGCCACTTTTCCAATCTCTGACTTGCACTCTCCAGTTTTGCTACGCCCAGCAAACTGGCCCACTGTTATGCTTTGGAAAAAGCGTTATTACAGGTTGAGGCAGGTTAGTTTAGGCAACACGCACTTTAAGAAGTCATTGCCTTCAAACGCCCATGCACACACCTACTTCTTTGTCCGCAGATAATTATATGTACATTAGATTATTCTGGATCCTAATTATGACATAAATTTGATAAATTTAAATGAAATTATATGTGCATCATATATAGAAACAGGATTATTTAAAACAAAAAGCTTAAAAGCAGACCTGAGAGAGGCTGATTTCACCGATAGGTTATTTCTACAGTTCTCTTTCATCCACCTGCTGTGTCTTGTTGTAACGCTTACCAGGGCAGGAGCCGTTTCCACAGTCTGTGAGGCTCCGGGTGCAGTGGGGCTCTTCATGCTGGTTGGGGCCAAAGGGGCTAACATCTGCAGGGCAGGAGGCAGCCAAGGTAAGGACTGGCAGGGAAGGAGGGGACTTTGTGAACACCCTGTGTGCCAGCCCACCAGACCTAGGACCTCTCCGTCACCTCATCTCTCCTACCTCAGTAACCCCCTAGATGAGAGATCCTGCAGCCTCCTCATCAGTCACAGTGCTTGGATGGTTGGTGTCGCCTGGTGGAAAAGGTTATCCCGTTCTTACTGAAAATAGAACATTATATTTCCTTTAATTCACACTAAGAAGGAGATATTTTTCAATCTAATAACGTAAATGAAAAGTCAGTGACCCGGGAGCTTGCAACTCTGGCTCTGGCAGTGACTCACTCTCTGACCCTAAATGCTGCTCTGAACTCTGGTTCCTGGTCTGTCAAAGGGGGAGATGAATACTTACTTGCATTTAACTGCAGTGATGCAAGAATTAATTAGCTCTGCTTGCTGAGAGCTCTGAAAATGGGGAAAAGTTACTGTTCTTGATCATCTCAAATAGCTGAAGGCTCATCTTTTCAACTCAGTGCTTACTGTTGGCCCCCTCCTCAGAAGTGAATGGGACATATGAAATCTCCTGGGTTTATTTTTTTGCCTCAGCCATGGTCAGGACACAACTGAAGCTAGGTCAGGGCTTTGGCTGTCTGAGTAGGTGGACAGAAACTGGGTGGTGTCAGAGGGGAGGCTCACATCCCACCTGCTGCTGGGCACATCAGTGCTGGGTTTCCTCTGGGCTGCGTTGGAGAAGGTGCTACAAGCAGCTGCCTCCTTAGCCCCAGGTTACATCTGCCTGCTCTACAACTACATTTTCTCAGCTCTTGTTTTGTTAACATGGTAACTCATCGGTGGAGGCTATTAAGAAATTATGGTTCCTCTGGCAGAACTCAGGCAGCAGCTGTACCAGCGAGAGCTGCTTCAACTTATTAAAAATAAATCAGAGAGGAATGTCATCAGAGAAGAAAATCTTCCATGCCAGTGAACAGGATCTTTCGAAATACGAGTTTTTCATTCAAACTTTTTTTTTTTTTTTTTTTTTTTTTTTTTTCAAATGAGGCTGCTCACCCAATATTTGTGGGTGCGGCTCGTTCTGAGCTCCTCTTCCTTGGGCATGAGCAACCCTGGGGAAAACCCTCGCTCAGGGCCGGAGGGTTAGGCAGGCTGCGGAAGGAGGAGGACACCTCCATGAGCTTGTCCTACCATGCTGCAGTCAGGTTTCGTACGCCCAGGCTGTAAAACAGTTCTCGTTGAACTGGCCCAAACACGGCCAGTTCTTCCTACAGATTTACAGGAAGGAAGGAACTAGAAATCTGAGTTTTAGATACAGCAACCTTCATTTCTTCATACCTCCATTATCCAAGAGCCCATACTCCATTTTTATTAGCTCATCTTTTACACAGCCTGTGTATTTGCTGTGTGTCCCATGCAGTACATAAATGTTCATACACTGCCCACAGCTTTAGTGCTGTTCATTAACACAACAAAAGTTGAAGTCAGACTCGTTTGCAGAACAGGTGGAGTAGGTCTGGGCAACTCACAGAGGCTTTTGGCAGCTTTAACTTTGTGGTCCATGGACCCCTGAGGTGCTACCACAAAGAAGCAGCAAATAAAAAAAAAAAAAAAAAAAACCTCTTGTTGTCAATAGGCCTTGATTATTTATTGAAGGATCAAAGTCCATTGATGCTTTTTAGGGGAAGGATTGAAAACGGTTGAAACCACTAAACACAAGTTACCCTTAAAAAAAAAAAAAGGTAAATGAAATGTGAGTCGCACACTATCAGACACAGATGGCCCACAAAGAGAAACGCCCAAGCAAGATGAAACAGTTACAACTTAAAATTAATCTTTCTGTAGTTAAGCTCATGTAATTTTGTGGTCATTGAATTACAGAATATAAAGAAATGAGGAAAATGCCTGGGGACAAAGTACAATTTTGGTGATAAGCGATTTGGGAATAATAATAATAAAAAAAGTTAGTGCATCCCCCTAACCATAGGTTGAGAAAATTAAATTTATTGCCTATTACATACATTTTGACAAAGTTAAACGTACCTGCATATAATTAACTGTCTTGTAGGTTTTATTTAAGTGACAATAATGAGACCTGCTATTTTGTACCTTTCCTTTCAAGTTGTATCAGCGTGTCTGTACTTGAAAAATGTTAACAGTTTGGCTGAAAAATCTTGCTACGATTGGCCAACCTCTTATAAGCTGCAATCCGATATCTGGCTTGAACACTTAGGTAAATATTAACCACGCTCGGGCAGTCAATTGATATTAGATTTGGGGTTATTTGTCATTCTGTCTCTAGCCTGAGTAAATCACTCAACCTGTCTTACCCATCTCTACATACACCTTCCCTCAGCAGTTCGCAGAACAGACTGTGCGGTGACTCGAGGGTGCCTCCGAAGCCCAGCACTGCAGCGCACACGAACATGAATCTTGCAGCCCGTTGTGAAAGAGCAGAACGGTTTTCTTTCATAGCACAAATCATCATTACTCAATTTTATTTTTACGAGGCTGCAATACCGTTGCCTCAGCCTCTTTTCCCTCCACCCTGGCAGGCTACCACTTATCTCCGCCATACCAACAATGAACTTTCCATGTCCCCCCCAAACCCTCCCAATATCTTCTTGGTCCCCCCCCGACAGCCCCTGACCACCTCCCCCGGGCTCGCTTGCATGCCGTGCCGGTGGTGGTGGTGGGCGGTCGCATGATTTCAGGCTCCTCGAGCTGGAAAACGCTGCCAGAGTGAATCACTTTGCTTTCTTATTACTGTAGTTAGAAGCAAGCCGAAACTTGCCATTTGCAAGGTAACTTTCATTTTGCTCCCTACATTGTTTCTTTGCCCTTGGCTCACAGAGCTGAGTTTTTTATTTGTTTCTTTATTCATTTTTAATTCTCTCCTGTGCCAGCTCTGCCTGGATCCAAAAATGGGCTGAGTGAAGGAGTTGCTCCTCTTTCAGACTAACCTGAAAGCCAACTGAATTCAGGTTAGTGCTTAGGATGTTTACTATTTGCACAGTTATCTATATTTATGCTTTTTGTTTTTTAAAGTGCTGGACTCCCCTGGTTGACATGAACAGTCAAGTTCAGTGCTGTGGGTTATTCCATGGTCTGATGAGAAACTGGTGATGAAATCAGGTGTGTCTGTGGCACAGTCCTGTTTATTTACAATCAAAGCCTAGTTTCCATTAGTATAGGGTAGATCTTAGGCAGCAGCAGTTTCTCAGATCTAAATCCTTTTCCAGGCTCACTCAGGCCTATTTGTGAGGCTTTTTCCCAGGGCCATGTGTCCAGGCCCTGTCTACACTTTGCTATTCTTCTACTGCTTGTTCCCTCAGCTTTCATGAATTTTCCATCCCTCTGTTAGACACATCAGACATCGGAAAATAATACCAAGGAAACTAATCCTTTTATATAGGTCTCTGTTTGGAGTGGTGAGGTACGTAATGGAAGCTGCTGGTCACAAAGTGGAGTTGCAGCTCTGCTTTGTATTCAGCCTGCTCGGCTGCAGACGTTAATGCAGTCGGATGGGAAATCATCGCAGTGCCATAGGGAGGTGGGGACAGGAGGTAGGAGAGGCATGGGGAGACCAAAGACTGTGTTCGTGTTGCTTTTGACAGCAGAGTTTTGGCCAGAGAGACAGTCGTCATGAAGAAGAAAACTGGCCCTATCAGCCTCAGGGATCACTGTTCTCATGATTGCAGGAGAAAAAGGAGATACTTGAGATAATATACTGAGATTTGGGGCAGGGAGGTGTTCTGTGGTATTTTCTCAAGGAGCTCTGTGCTTTACCAGCTCTCTTTCCCCATCAGGTGAGAGTAAAACAGAGACAAGCTTCTGCAGAGTGCCTGTTGAGTAAGGCTGAGCTTGTGGCAGCTGGGAGCGTGGCCAGGATTAGGCAGCTCCGGGAGGGAAGCGCTGGACTCCCGAGGAACCTCTGCCCCCAGGGAGGGCAGGGCTGCCTGGATGTGTTACTGACTCCTTGGTAGGCAGTGTAATCCTCCGAGCAGATATTCAAATAGGAACACGAGCCTGAGCCTGGTGACAGCCAAATCTTACTGCAGTTTGGAGGTAGATCAGGTGCCCGTTGGATTCATTTCTTTCCACTGTAGATGCTGACACCCAGATGGAAATGCTGTGTTACTTCAAGCTTCCTTCTAAGTTAAGGGTGTCACACTGAAGGCTTTGTCCTGGGCATACCTGTGCTTAAAATGGCAACCAGTGCTGTCTGCTGTGACTGACAAAGCCAAGATCTCTGAAATGTATCCCAAATAGAGCCAATTGCGGGTTGTTATTGTCTGACTGTTGGGAAATACATAGCACAGTAACAATATTCTCCATCTGCCCTTCAATAAAGTCTATAGAATTTAATGAAATAAAACTATATCATATTTATTTTATGATTTCACTACAATTGTTACAATACTGTGGGGCAAGCCAAGAAAAAGTTTTAAATAACTCTCAAGTCTCTGGTTGAGTAAGATAACACAATATATGTTTTCCTTCATATTTCCAGAGTCCATACATCCCCCAAGTATGTATTTTTCTCTGAGGAAGTACATCACAGGACAGTTTAGTGCCGAGTGTCTGTGCAGTGTTCCACAACAACAAATGAATGGTTTCCCCGTTTTGGTGCCTAGGAAAACCTGTTAATTTGCTTAGTTGCAGTACCAAAGATACATTGAATAATTTTGCATGCATGGAAGCAGTGACTCCACGGCAGAATAGGCAGACACCAGCAAAATGATGCTGCTAATCCTTCTGCTTCTATAGTACCTGTTCCGACTTTGCCTAGTCATTCAGTGCTCCAAAACAAGTGCTCAGGATTATTAAAGCACAACTCCCCATTGAAACCAGCAATGATGTTTTGCGCTAAGTTAGCGTAGGTAATAAAGCACTACACGAGCGAAATCTAGAGAAACATCTTCCATGTCTGATAAGTCTGGCACCTTTCACCACCACTAAAATTACTTCCAGCCTCCCACGCACTCAGGCTGTGCTTTACAATTAGTCCCACTAGCATCGATGAGAAAAAGCCTCCCGATGATGCTGGCAGCTGCAGCAGAGTTATCCTTCAGTACTGGGTCCCATGCGGCCTGGGCCCACCATGGCATATTAAAGAAGAGGAACAGAAAGAGAAATGATGGTTGGGAAGACTGAGAGGCAATATTAGCAAAAGGAAGCTCCCTCAAGTGCTTTGAGTGGGCATCTCTCACCTCCCTCGGTTGGGTATATGTTGGGCTTATATTAGGGATGAAAAGATTTTTTTTTTTAGTAAGCGGCTGTGATATCATGTATCTGTCTATGCAAAGAGGAAACGTAAATATAATTTAAAAAAAAGGAATATAAATATTACATAAACACTTCAGAAAAAGGGAATAGATGAAATTAAAATCTGATGAAAAAGAACAATGTGAAAAGTTAGAAAAAATCATCATATCCTAAAAGCTTGAGACATTTAAAAAGGTAAGAAAGCATATTCACTGTATCAGAATTAATAATGCAAGAAGATGCTATGGAAACAAGACTGACCTGTAAAGATGGGCAGAATATATTAAAACATTTGTATGATGAACTGCGAGAATCCAAAGTTGTGGTCGCTGCAAGAGCAAAACAAATTCAGAAAATTGCTCTGTGTGAGAGGGTGCCTGGAAGTACAGAAGTAGTGAGAGACTTACGCACAGGAGCTGTTTCCTGTCTGGGAAAACAAAACAAAACAAAACAAAAATGATTAGGTTCATCAACAGAAAAGCCTCAGGTGAGATGGAGAGGATCCATCGAACTGAGATTTCTCACAGACAATCACTCCCTGCAGAGCTTTCTGGTGAGGATGTTTATTTACTCGGCTGCCAATATGACTCTGGCTGAGCAGTGAGCCTTGTGGCAGGTGTGTAACTCAGAGCAAATATTAGGAGGTTAAGTGCTGACATAAATCACATCGTGTGTGAATGTTCACACCGACATCTTATTCTTATGATTTTGCCCATGCACATGCATGGTTATCCAAATTAACCAGATTGCTGTGGATTATAAAGCTTATATGACTAACGTGTATTCAGTTCTTTTGTTGTTGTTTAAAAAATATAAAATTATATAGAAAATCTATATCATAAGCTTTTTTCAGTTTTCCTGATAACCCCTAGGTTTTTTGAGCAGAGGTAAGAAACTCGGTGTGTAAGAATATGCAGAGATAGTCCTCTCCTCGAGTAAGTACACTGTAAAAAAAAAAAAGGGGGCTTTGAATCACGCCGGCCATTGCAGGCTATGATATGACTTACAGTGGTGCTGAGCATGCAGTCTGCCCGTTTGGGACCAGGTCAGCAACCTGTGGGAGAGAGGTGGAGATGAACACCCCTGGGCAGGGACCTCCAGACAGCTTTCCAGCTCTGATGTAGCTGTGTCTGCAGCACTGCAACTTTGCAACTCTAGGAGCTGGAAAACACGGGCTCAGTCCACATCTCTGCCCAGTAGTTATAGGCTTCACAATTTATTCTAGGCGCCAAAAGAAAGTATAGGGAAAACAGAGATCATGTGCTCTCGCTTCAAGCTGTGAGCTGGAGTAAGTACTGGGTTCGGTAAGGAATCAAACCTGGAATCTTCAGCAGCTTATTGATAAATCTTGCAAGGAAGAAAATGCTTTGCAAAACCATGTGTTGAGTGAATCATCTCTATCTGCTGTGTAATCAGCTTAACAGGCTAATAAGAAATAGTTTTCCATTATAGAAAACAGTTGTTTGACCCTGGCAGATTTTAATTATTGAACTCTTGCAACAGCCTATCTGTAATTAAACCTCTTGTCGGCTTCCCTGGGTTTCAGGTGGGGTTGTGCATTTGTAATTTCAGTGGTGTAAGGAAGACAGCCAATATTTCACTCTTTGAAAATGGTTATCATTTCTTATACAGACTGCATAAAGATATCCCATGCTTTAATTCCACTGTCTTTCTGGATTGAACATTGAACTAGACTAATGATTCACTGCTCTTGGATTCATCAATTTGAGGCATAATTTAAGTTCTGAATAATTTACTAGTAAGAAGTTGTGTGGGTTTCTTTTTCTTTTTTTCTTTTTTCCTTTTTTTTTTTTTTTTCTATCAAAAGAGGAAATGAACTGCAAGAAATACCACTGAGGGATATCTATGGCACATTTACCTCTGCACAAGAGTAATTATTAGAAGCAGGGTGCATAGAAGTCCTGGAGCAGATGTCAGGAGGGGTGTGAGGGCAGCACCACGGGATCAGCACGGAGCAGCGGTGTGTGAGCCGCTGGCACACGGGAGGGCTGCGGAGCCGGTGCCTGCCCAGCAGCAGGAGGATCAATAGGGCTAATCCTGTCTGGCTGATGCATCTGGTTTGGTGTGGATGTGCAAGTTTATCTGCTCTAAATTCTGCTCTCAGGTCTGACCATGTGGGCCCTGCAGCAGGACCTGTGCTCATGAGTGGTGCTCTATGAGTCTGTAATCCTAGGTGTAGGAACTTCTCCTTTTTCTGTGGACTGCTGAGCATCTGCTTGATTCCCTGTGTGTCATCTGCTGATGGGCCTGTGCAGAGGACAGTTTGCTGCTCGGTAGAATGAGATGAACCTGACTGAAGACCCTCGTGGCCTTGCGCAGTGGCTCTTGAGCTGCTCAGATGTTGCTCTCCTTGGGGTCGCTTCTGCAGCGTGCTGTAGCCTGTTTGTTGCAGCAGTCAGCAGCAGATGAAAACCCCAAATCTTGTGATTTCATTGCCACTGATTTCAGCTCTTCTTACCGGTTGCACCTCGATGCACTTGCTGTGTACCTGTGCCAGGCTGGCCCGTTGGCGTTGTGCTGGAGAAGGCAACTCAGTTTCGATTACAGATTTTGAATCTTTGCAGACCAGCTGAAGTTGCTGGGCTTTTTCTGGAAAGAATTAAAACATCCTTTTGCTGTAAAACACTGCACGGAGTGTTAGAAAACATGCTCATTTACTGTCATTTTTTCAGTCTTGAATAAAATGTTTTTTTGGCAGGCTGTGACAACCCATCACGTATTTTAACTCCTGGGGATTCTCCTATTTCATGTGTTTCTTCTTTTTACTTATTTCAGCAGCTGAATATACATTTAAGGAAGACAAACGGAAGGGAAGGCAATAAAAGGATGTAAGATGAAAGAAGAAATGGGAGAAGATATGGAAAAAGGAATAAAACAGAGCATGAGGAGGAGAAGAAAGGAGGCTTTGAGGGTCGTTAAAAGAACGTGGGGGAAAGCAGAGCATGAAACAGACCACGTGGCACCTCTGGTTCTTTGCTTCTTACTTCATCTTCCCTACATAAGCCATGAATGATTTTAAAAACAGTGTCCAGATTTCACCTGTCTGCTTTTGCCTGTTCTTTTTTCTGCAGGAGCTACAGGTGCCCAGCAGCACTCAGGTCTGGCCCAAGCACCTATTGGGGAGGTTGGGGAGGCTGCCAGGGAGCTGCTTTGCTGCAGCCCTGGAGGTGACCACACGTGTCCTGGTCCCGCTGCCTACACGGGGCTGTGCTGTCACTGCCTGCCCGTCCCCTGTGCTCCGACACTTGGCTGCTGTGCTACAAAAAGTGCTCCGCAGGTGCTATGGGACTTTGCTCGGGAGCAAACATTAACACAGGAGCAACAGTGTGTGTTTTCAGCGTAAGCAGTGCATTTAGCTCAGTGTGTAACAAACAGGGCATGTGTTCCAAGTGCATGCCTGCATCTGTGTTTCTCCAAATTCCTGTGCAAATTGGAAAGCCTCTGCTGCCATATCAGTACCCCATGCAGTCCTCCCTCTTACCAATGACATCAGGAGAAACTGACAAAAGGATGTGCTTCCCTTCATACCTACCAATATTTTCCTGTAATCATCAATAATCACCAAGATAACTTGCTATTGAAAGCCATGATATATCCCATCCCCTTTCATCACAACACGGGTGAGAATAAAGCAAGGCATTAAACAGGGATCCCTAAACAGGAAGAGCAGCTGAGAAATGTGTTCTTAGCATGTTCATAAACCACTTGAATAGTTGGTACAGTGGAATATACATACCATCGTGTTTTGATAGGTATTTTGTCTGACATACCCCCTGGGTGTTCCTCTTCATGTCACAGGAAGGTATTTTTTTAGGAATGCTCATCAATAGATATAACCTGATTGTGGTAAATAATTTGGCATTGCTTCTGTTCAGAAAATGGGTTCCTCTGACGGTATCTGAATTGGTTCCAGCCCTGGCAAGTACTTGACAAACAGAGCCCAGTGCTGCAGTTCTGTTTTAATGTTGTTTATTCATTATTTGGGTAGGGCAGATAAGGCCCTAGGGCCTGATCCAGTGCCCGCAGAAGTCAGCGAGAGGCTCCACAAGCCTTTTTAGTCATTGGAATCCTGTGCTCTGGGTCTCAGAGTCCACAAATCTGTGCCAGGAGCTTCGTCAATAACTGAAAAGCTGGAAGAAGAGCAATGAGTAAACTTCTGGACAGCCAGAAAGGAGGAAAGGGGATTGAAAGCCAGCAATAAATTCTCAGCAGAGACAAAATGTCTCCAAGAAGCTTTTGTAGGTGCCGATTGAGAAGATAAGTAACCTCTGAAACTTTCAGGAAAGCACCAAGACTCTAAAGGCTTTAAGACAAAACTAAAGTTAACATCTCGGGTCTTAAATTCCATTTACTCTGCAAGTAGCCTGTAGTTCAGTCTTCTGTAAATTAACTACGTTCACCTTGACTTCTTGTGGTGCTCGTAAATCCCCCAAGTTCTACTGTTCTTAGTGGTTTTATTTTTTGCTGATTTTAATGATAATTGATGGCTTACAGAAAAGTTGCTAAGAATTTACTTTTACTAATTAAACATTTATATATTTGCTCTCAGTATTATAAAGAGAGCCAGAAATCTACTTAGATTATCCAGTGTTTTCCATGCTGAAAAAACATTGCGATTTTCTTTCAAAACATTGGATTTCTTGTTGAGAAAATCTGATAGCCATATCTCGAGCTGCCCTTTGAAATTTGTCAGGAATGAAATTCCAGATCTGTTAAAAAGAGTATTTGGTCCATCAGTGCCAGGTTTACACTTGTCTGCTTTGCTGATACTCGTTCCAGCACTGCCCTCTCCTCCGTTGCAGGATTGCTGTCATTCCCAGAGCAGTGCTGGATGCACAGGACAGCGTCCCATGTCTTCTGGCCTCTCGTAATGTGAATTTAATCCTTTTTGACCCGTGGAGTACATGCAGTGCATGGGATGACACCTGGGACTGGGTAAAGCAAGGTGTGTGCACGTTTTATGACAATTTGTAGTTCTGGGAATGGGTCTGTAAAACCCTCAGCATTCATGCAGACTGTGCAGGTATCTCCTGGCAATGCCCCTTTGCCCCTTTCTCTACTCTGGACACCCCTGCTGTCTTCACTCTTTCTACAGAGCACGTTTTTTGCTTTTTACACCTCTAGCCATTCTGCTTCCTTTCCTGTGGATTATTTCCAAGAGTCCACACCAAGAAGTGACCCCAAACTCAAACTCAGTCCTTCACAGTGCTCAGCGCAGTGAAGCCAGTACGTGATACATCCTACAGGAATCACCCCAATCGAACCAACTTGAGGAGGGCTGAAAACCACCAGAGACTTAGTAAGGAAATTGTTAAAACCCCTTGAACATAATTCTGTTTAAACTACAATAAGGCCAGTAAAGATCTAGGGGACAAAGCAGTAAGTTCACCTTTACTTGTCTTCTACCCCTAACCATCTTTTCACTGCCTGAAGTTACTGGAGGCACAGGTTAGAGCCCTGGGCTTGTGGCTTTTCCTTCAAATCAGGGATTCTTCTTTGCTACAATTTCTTCCTTCTGTTATACTGCAAAGACAGTTCTTCTTGTCTACCTAAACTTTGCATGTGAGTCTCCCGAGCATGACATTAACACCTGTGTCTCTGTAATTACTTCTTAACGATTTAAGGACTTTCCATTCTCCAAATCCCTGCCTGTGTTGAGAAGTTGTAGGCAATAATTTTTAATTCAACTTTATTTTTTTCCAGGCCAGAGCTAGCCACAATTGCTTAATAAGCCTTAATGATTGTCTCATTCATAAAAGTAGATGCTAGGAACTACTGCCTTGCTCCTCTGTGGAAGTCCTGGAATTACATAGGAAAAAAATGTGAATTACAGCAGTGGAGAAGTCAACCCGTTCCTGTAGTTATAAAGTTATGCATAGGAAGATCTCAAAAAGCCCCATGCATGCTTGATCTGGTAAGAGCAGAGATACAGTGTAAACCGTCAATGATTTAGAACACCAAAAGTCAGATATTTAAAGAAATGACAAATATCCAAGTTAAAGTTTTAATAGTCTAATAATTGAGCAGGAGGAGAGTTAGGGCAGGTCAGGATGTTAATTCATTAAAACCTAGTAGGGTTTTGTTACAGGTCCTAAGTAATTTTTGAAAATGGCACTTTGTACTTACATCAGGTGCTGCAGGTGTGTTGTTGTTGTTGTTTTTATTGTTGCTGTAGTCTTTTGTTTTTTTTTGACTGCTTTATGTAACCTAGGCCCTCACTTTTTCATTATTAATATTATTATTATTATTTTTTTAATTTGACTTCTGTATGATTTAGATAACTTCTTTTATTTTTTTAACTTAATTCTTTGAGGAACAGTATTGATCTCCAGTTTGACACTGGTCTTTCCAGGGCTCTAAATTAACTTCTGCTTGGATTAAGGGAATGTCTGTATTTGAAACTGCATCAGCTTCAAGCATACTGTAAACTAAATCGGTGTCTTGTCAAACCATACCATGAAGAGATTACTAAATCCAACATGTGCAGAATAATTCCATATCAGTTCCTCAACACTGAGTAGAACTGGAGGATAAACTGTGAAGTAGTTCTGGAAATTAGCAACGTTCCAGTGCCTGGAGATTTTTAACATTCAGATAAAACTTACTTGTAGTAATGTGCACTGGGTTGCGAGATTCTCACTCCTTGTACATTTGTGGTGTCCACACCAGAGATTTCAACCACTTTTAAACAGAACACGGATATTTATCATCAGTAATCATAAGCTCTGTTTCTCTCCATCCCCTGCTCCATCTCCATCTTCTTTCTGCCAGACTGCCTCTCAGTGGAAGCCTTCCAAGACCGTACTGGTTAATAAATGGATTGTCAGGTTCTGGGGTATCTTAGCCCAGAAAAGCTCAACATCCAGACATATATATACCTGCCACCCATACTGCAACATGGTGCCCTCTCATTAAGTACACAGAAAGTACTTGTAATTTTTGTAAACCAGCAGCTCTTGCCAATTTTTCTCCTGATTAGTATAATCCTTTTCTCATAATCTCTTATAATAGTGTTTTATACTTCATTTATCTTACATAATTAGACCTTGGACACTCTCACAGACTTGTTACTTTTGTTTGTTAAAGCTTTCTTCTTTCTAAGACATCAACAAACACTAAACTTTGTAAACTGTATTCAAAATGTTTTCAGAATCCTGTATACGTAATGTGTATGTGTGTGTGTATCCAGCGAGAAAGAAACTCAAATCTCAAAGGTCCTCGCTCTTGTTAGCACTGTCACTATTCAAGCGATAGTCCTAGAGTTTTGGCCTCAAATCAGATTCCAGGATAAATTTGTTTTTCTTTGTACTTCACTACTGAATTTTCCCATTTTAAACACTGAATAGAAAAACTGTCAATATTTCTTTCTAAACTGTTTTAAGTTTTTTTTTTTTTTTCCAGGAGACTGTTAGAACTGCTGGGAAAACTGCCAAGAAACTTGCTAAAGACAGTAAGAGCCGGGATTAGATCACAAGAAAACATGAAAAACCTGTAGCAGTGTCGGAACAGTGAAATAATTGCTGTTGACCAGCAACTGTATCTATTAATAATAAGTTTTACAGCAGTGTGGTAAAGTTCCTGATATGCAACATTATGTTTCAGTGGATACATGCAAATGACTGCTGAAACATAATGTTGATCGTTACAAAGTCTATGCCACTGTAAAATTGCTTCTTAAAGGCAGTATGTCTTGGAAGAGTCTCTATTGACTTCACATTTTTACAGCTGTTCCTGCAAGCTTCTCAGATGATGCCTATTAAATCAAGGATTTATAACTCTTTTATCCTCTCAGTATGTTCTCGGCAGCTCTTATGATCACCTAGAAAGCACAAAAACAGCAGGTTAATGGAAATTTTCAGCGTTTTCCAATAATAAATTTGATAGGCTATGGCCATAAAATTGTGGAGCGTGCTCAGTTGTCTCAGTCGCAAGCTGGAAGCTGTTTACTCCAATTTTATTTCATTTCTGCCTTCCTGAAATCCTGCATGCTGCCGTTCTATTCCGCAGAAGTGAAACGCTGGGGATAAGATAAAATATTATAATAGGGCAGGTGTGCTTTTTTCCTGCTTTCACAGGCAGCCGTATCATTTCTCATCAAGAATTCAGATCCTCATCTATGTCATTAGTTCAGATAAGTCAGGTGGGTAATGGAAATAAAATTAACATGTAAACAAAGCAGAATCACCTGTAGACTACTGCATCTTTGTGCGTCCAGAAGCTTTCCAAATTTGCCACTAGTGGAAAAAACTATGGATTTCAGGGAAATTGGACCAGATATTTGAGGGACCAATACAAACTGACTCCTCTTCTTGCTTCAATTGGAAGTGCTAATTAGAATGCAAAGGGCTAGGGATGCCATTCTCATGATACCGTTGACTTAATTAGGCAATAATTTAAACCCTTGAAGTTTTCAGAAAATCGTTAATTCTGCCCTTTAACTATGTAGCCACAAAACTGGCGATAGCTCTGCCATTTGTATCATGTCTGAAGTTCTGAAAGTTACTAATACCACTGCCTATGGGCACCAGAATGGACTACCAACTGCTTCGTGTCTGTGGTACCACTAATAAATTCAGGGGAAAAAAGGCATTTTCCCTGCCTTGCTGTCCTCCAAACTCCACCTTTGCGCTGCAGTTACTTTGAATTTCACCATTTATACTCAAAAGCAATACGTTGTCAGCCCATACCGAGTGTTCGGTCAGCTGTGCAACTCCATTGTCCTGGGTGAAATCCATGAAAACATGCGAGTGATATCTGCAAAACCTTTTGACTTCTGAGTGCTTTGAGGAGAAAATTGCTGGGCGGTTTCATTGATGCTGGTGGTGGTGGTGACGCACCAGTTTTCTCCCCTCACTCTGTGTTGGTTCAGTCGCGTTACCAGAAACGCAAAGGACCACGAAGAGCACCTGGATTTGTGTGGTGGCTCTCCCAAACATCAGGTGGGAAAGCAGAAAGCGGAAAGCCAAATTGTGTGGTTTAGTGTCTTGGTTTCTTCACACTCACACCTCTGAGGGAGATCACTCAGACACACGCTCTGATTTTGGGGCGGTCCCGCGCGGCCCCAGCAGCCGGGGGCTCGAAGATCCTTGCGGGCCCTTTCCAACCGGGGACATTTTGCGGTTCTCCGGGTCATCGAGCAGGCAGCCCCCTGGATCAAGGCCAGGCATTCCCTGCGAGATCCCCATGGGGCCGCGGGGGTTTTTTACAGGCTCCCTAGCGCCAGCCCGGCGGCTCGGGACCCCGACCCAACCCGGCGGGCCACCGGCACGGCCCCTCAAGCGCCGCCTCAGCTCCTGGCCGGCCCCCGGCGGCTCGGAGGGGGGCTCCCCGCCGCTCCTCCCGGTCTGCCCCCGCCCCGCTGCAATGCCCCGAGCCTCCGGAGCGGGGAGGCAGCGCCGCCAGCGCCCCGCCCGCCGCCACCACCGCCGCCGCCGCCGCTGTGCCGGGGCAGGCGCCGAGCAGGTGGCCGCGGGCAGCGGCATGTGAGCGGCCCCCGCCTGCTCCCCGCTCCCCCTCCGCAGCCAGGCGGCCGCCGGGCCCCCTCGCCTTGCCGTGTCCCCGTCCCCTCGTCGCCGGGCCGGCCGGGGGGGGCGGCCGTGGCGGAGGGCGGAGAGGAGGAGGAGGAGGAGGAGGAGGAGGAAGGCTGCGAGGGGCCGGAGGGACGCGGGAGCAACCCCCCGCACCCCCCCGCAGGATGAAAGTCACGGTGTGCTTCGGGAGGACGCGGGTGGTCGTGCCCTGCGGGGACGGGAACATGAAAGTTTTCAGCCTCATCCAGCAAGCCGTCACCCGCTACAAGAAGGCGATCGCCAAGGTGAGGGGAGACGGAGGCGGGGGTCGCGGGGGGTGGGTGGGTGAATGGATGGATGGATGGGGGGGGGGGGGTGCGCGGGGAGCGGCGCCCGCGATCAATATGGCGCTTCCCGGAGCGGGGAGGGAAAAGTCCGGGCTGCCCCGCTCCGCCCTTTGTTCGCCGGTGCCCGGCGGCCAGGAGGCGGCTGGCGGCCCCCGGCGGGGTGCGGTTGAGCCGCGGGGGCCGCCCGCTCCCCGGCCGGGCGCGGAGGGACGCGGGGGCCCCGGCGCGGTGCCGGCTCTGCCTCGCCCCCCCCCCTCCCCAAACCCCGGGGCCGTGGCGCCGAGCGGGGCCGGCCGGCTGCGGGCCGGGCGCGGGGGCCGCTGGAAATCCAGCCCCAGGCTTCCCGGCCCTCCAGGCCCCGCGGGGACGGAGGCCGGGGGCAGCTCCCCCCGAGGGGCCCGGAGCGACTCGGCGGGTGCGTGAGGCCCCGGCCTGCCGAGGGGCCGGTCCCGGCTCCCGCTGGTGCCGGCCTCCCTCAGCCCCATGTTGCAATCGGTGCCAGCAGGCTGGGTTTGCCTGCCGCAGGAGAGCTGCTGGGGCTTCAGCCCCGCTTTTTAAAAACCCTTCTTCTTCTCCTCGCACGGCGTTGTTGCAAAGTTCTCAGTCAGCCGGTTTGTCGGGACGGGAAACTTAAGCAAGCTCCCTTCCCCCCTTTTTTTATTTCCACCTGGCTCGTTCAAGCGGTGGGTTCAGCTTCGCTTCCGCAGCCTTTCCGGTGGTCTTCACTCAATCGGGACGTTTTGTTTTGGCAAATGCTGGCTCGGAGGATGTCTGGAACCGCGCCTCGATGCTGGAGGAGCTCTGTGGATAGGACTGCCTGGTCTGAGAGGGCTCCCAGCAAAGTTTTTCAGATTAGTTTCCTCAGTGCTGTGGGGAGAAAAGTAACCGATGTTCCATCACCTCCCTGCTTTATGCCCAACGATCAGTGGTTTTGGAGGGAAAAACCAGGAAACGTTCCCGATACGCTTTTATTACACCCCTTGCAACAGTTGTGTCTCTGGCTGGAGGAGGAATAAAAGGGTTTGCTGGGGAATGGCCGCACACCAGCTGTTACCTGCACGCTGCAGCGGGGCGCACGGTGACCTGCCCGCATGGGTGAGGCGGTGGGCGAAAGCTGCTGCAGGTAACAGTGAGCACCCAAATGTGTCCCTCAGGGCAGCTCTGGGTGCTTCATCGGGGCGTTCAGATGAGGAGAGTTTGAAGAATTCAGTTCTTCAGCGTGCTGACACTGATAAAAATTCATTATTTTGATGTCTCGTGTTCCAAACCCGTGTCCCGTGGGGAGGCAGCTCGGCTGGTGCCGCCCTTTGCTCCTGCCTCCAGCTGTTGAGCTGGGTTAGGGGATGGATACGATGCAGCAGAGGGAAGGTGTGCTGGGCACCGGGAAAGGGCACTGGGAAAGGGCTCTGGTTGCAGGTGGCACGGCTTGTGCAGGAGGGAGGTGGCCCACCTGTGGAAAAGCAGAAGCGTTGTGATGTAACTTCTTCAAATGTGCTGGTGTATTTACTAACAAGACCATTTGCAGATGTGCAGGCGGACTTGGCCTGCCCCTTGGTCCCCAGTCCCCAGAGCTCTCGATCCAGGGTTTCAAATGACACGTTTTTATTTATTTATTAGTATTTATATGGCGGTTATGCTGTATGCCAGCGGTATGGACTTGAGGTAGTCATAATTACTGGGATTGCTTCTATTATATGGAAATACTGTGGTTGAAAGGCACAGTAAGCAGAGTCCATGGGCTTTTCTCTGAGTGCTGTGTACAGGCACTGTCACCTTGCTTTTAGCTTAACTTCTGAAGCTTTGCAGCAGCGATGTGTGGCAGTGAGAGACGGCTCCTCAGCGCCTGGTGAGCAAACCCATGGTGTGCATCCTGTGCTCTCTGTAGCATAACAGGGCTTCTGTGGCAGAATTTCAGTAGATTGCTGCCTGTTTGTAGCACTTAGATAGTTTGTGTCTGTGCTAGTGTAGGCAAAGGATCGAGTCTTCCCTTCAGAAAGGAGACAGAGAGGAAACAAAGTAATTCCCGCACTGCCAGGGTAAAGGTATGTGGGCACATCTGGCAGGATCTGGCAGCTGGCGTCAAGCTGACACTGAGCTCTGCTTAACCACGACTGTGTTGTTAGGAAAAAAAAAAGCGTATCTGGTGGAACATTATTCAGAATACTTTAATTATGTTTATGGTTTTCATACTGACAGGAAAAACAGCGTTTCTCATCCTGCGAAAAAGAGCGTGCCTGCTCTATGCAGCAGTTCCTGCAGGAGAACCACTTGAAGCACACGAGAGCTGAAGTGCCAGCTGCGCTGAGCCCGCCTCGCGCTTTGCTGTGGTTTTCAGGTTACGGTTAGGAATAAGCTGCCCTGCCTGGGTAGCGGTGGCCAGACAGCAAGGCTTCGTGCTTGCAGGCTGCCACGAGCAAGTAACTTCAAGCTCTGACCTCGGTTTGAGTTTTCTCGACTTGGTGTTATTTAGGTTAAGTAGACGTGCTGAGAACGGAAAGAACGCGGGCAAAAATAACGAAGGTGATAGTAAGGTTCTCCTCTCTGTGAAATGTTAAGACTGTCGAAGAGCATATGGACAGCACACAATTCACTGCAGTGTGTTGTGGGTGCTGCTGGCTTTGCTTAGGATGCATAAATCTCAAAGCAGAAAAAATCAGGCTGGATTAACACAGCTCTCAATGCTAAATCTTTAAGTACTGAATAACTTAATATGGCGGGCTGTGCTCGGGGCTTGATCCGTGCAGTGTGTACAGGAAATCTTTCAGAGCCTTTCCTTTTAGTGCAGGAGAAGCTTTGTGTCTGAAATGTGCTCCGTTTTTCTTCCAGCTGTGTTTGTGGGGAAGGAAGAAGTGAAAATAGATGTCTGAGAAGTCCAGCTGTCCAGAGTAACTGGATGTGGCCAAAATTGATCACGGTCCATGAGATCTTGTTCGCACGGGGGCATACTAATGACGTTTTGTTTGTGGGGCTGGCCTGGTGCAGCCTCTGGCACAGTTTCTGCAGTGAGCATTTAACGAGTACGGTTTGTTCAGGTGGCGACTGG